TTTCATTAAATATTATTATAGATTAATTTAATTCAAGCAAATATTAATTTCAATTATCTTTTTCTTTTTACATCATATTCATTTTCTATATTTTTGTACTTTTAAATTATAACTCTTTCATTTCAATATCAAACGACTTTGCAACGGACGGTTAACTAACAGTTTTTCTCAATAAATCGAAACAAACGATTATGTCACATCGTACGCGAGAAATGGAAAAATACTCGTGTACATATTATAAATTTCTTATATTTAAGTTTTATACATTGAACACATTTGTATTATAAATTTATAAATTTACATTTATGTTTTATTTATAAATTTTATTTATATTATATATATAAAGTTGTTGTTTTTAAATTTAAATTTATATTTTTTTTATATTATATTTTATTATTTATAAATATATTGATTTGGTAAATTTACAAATATAATAAATTAATTTACAATATGTACTAGTATGTTTTTATTTTTAATATTTCTTATTATTATATTGTATATAATATACGCATTAAATTCGTACAGATTTTAAACTGTAACAGTTTGACTTTGACAGTCCTAAGTTCCTGTTTTTCAAACATTTTTTCATGTCATTTAACGGGTAAGACAGTAAACATGCTTTTATTTGCTATTTAAGTTACTGAATTGTAACAGAAGTGTAAAAGATTCAAGCGCCCCTAAAAATATTGAAATATCTTTTCCTTGATTAGATTTTCTCATAATCTGAAAATTTTCTTTTCGCAAGGATCCTTTAAAATTTGCTTATCATTTCTTATCGCTTTTTTATCAAAATTCAAATATTGGAATTTCTTAAAATACTTATAATTTTGACTTTCTTCGAAATATCAGTTGCAAATTAAATTTATCTATAACAATTTTAAATCGATTCCAAATTTTACATCGCTATTTGTTTAATCCTTACTCTACGTATATATATTATATATCGAATTTATTATTATTTATTATAGTTTGTTTTAAGTTAACACTAACAATAAGAATGCATATTTAATTAACTAACAACAGGAATCAATATTCTGTTTCTAACAATTATTCAAAATACCTGAATTTAGAAACTAAAATGTATATTAAAAGCTGGTTTTTTTCCGAATACATTTAAAATTATTTCAGATAAAAAATTATTCTGAATTTATAATAGTTTGTAAGAAAATTCAGTAAAACGATATAACTTTTACATATTTATACAAAATAGTTTTATTGTAGAATCTGTAGACTTATACTTCAATTAATTTTATAAAATAAACTAGATTTGGTAAAATTGGTGTTTTTATTTGATTTTGTAAAATGTGTTATTATTTTATTACATATTATAAATTAAAAATATACCTATATTAAAATAAGTAATATATGTAATATACAATAAGTAATACATTATATACTATAAATATGTTACAAATAAATGTTTACGTAATATAATATCATTATTTAATAATATTATAATCTCTATTTTTATCAAAATATTATTAATTAAATTATTAATTAAATTAAATATTGAATATTACATCAATAATGTTAATAATATTAAATTTATACTATAATTAATAATGGTATTATAAATAAATAATTATAGTGTAAATAATAATAGTAGTATAAACAATAATGATAGTATAAATGAATTTAGTATAGTAAAATATAGAATAATAAAAATGTTAGTATAAATAATAATGACGGTACAAATAAATTTATACCACCAATAATTTACACGATGTTTTTCATCTGTAAATGTTTAATTCCGACATAAGTTCTATAAATATTAGGAAAAAGAAATTTGAGAATATTATACATTATTTATTGATATTATATTAAATAAATAAAATAAATTATAAATAATTTAAATTTAATTCCGAAAACGTAAAATTCAATATATTTTTAAATATGATATAATATAAAAAATATATTATTGTAATCTAAATTTAGCATTATAACAATTTTTAATACTAAATTTGTTTTCGACTTAAATTTAAATTATTTATAATTTAAAATTTTTGGTGAGATACATAAATAGATTGTATTATTTAATAATGAATTTTTTAATAACATAATTTCTATTTGTAAGTATTTTAGAACTAATAAAAGTTATGTTATTAAATCGTGTGAATTTTTATGATATTAACTTATTTATACTATTATTATTTACAGTTGTTAACAAAATATAATATTATAAATTTGTAAATTCATAAATTTTATATTATTATCATTGCATCAAATAAATAACAGTATACGTAACATATTGAATAATGTATTATACACTGGATATAGACGGAATCAGTGTCATTGTTTCTAATAACTACATCCAAAATTACACTATCATCTGATGTAATCACATATGTCTCGTCACGGTCCATTTTTAAAACTCTTTTGTATCTTTTTAAAAAATATTTAAATTTTAAATTGAGAAATCAAAAGATGTAGACTCCAAAATATAAGAATAAAAATATAAAAGATACGAGAAACAAACGGAACAGCGTTGTACGTATAGAAAAAGTTTCTGTTTCTATACTGACCGTTGTTGACATCGATCGCTTGGCCAAACCTTAACGGAATTTTCAATATCTTTTGCGATAGCTAAATATCTATTTGGAACTGAACCTGAGACGAGAGAACTATTATTTAATAAAGTATACATGTGTCTTACAGATTATTAAATAAAATATTGAAAAACTTATGAATAAGCTGTTTTGCTGATTTTTAAATGCAGACAGAATATTTACTATTCCTCTAATCAGTATAATAATTTAAATTTAAGTCAGTAATTAATTTATTTGCAAGAATATGTCTGAGGATTTTATTTACTTGAAATGCTGTATTTTTCTGTACTTTAGAACTGATAGAAATGACATCTGAAGATATAACAGAAAATTATATATTAGAAATTATTCGTATTCAACAGGTATTTTGATATATTAATTTCACTTTGGACTTTTAACAATGATACCAATAATACAATTGTATTAATAGTAATTAATACACCTAATATGTCATTAGGCAATATTTACCAACAAGAAAAAACAGATTGAAGAGATTGAATAAGAAAAGTGAATAATAAGAGACAGTGAAAATTTTTATTTAAATAAACAATCAAATGAAAGGATGTACTGATACAAAATATTTTTAAATAATTTATAATTTTCGTCGTTTGCGTGATTAATTTGCTTTTTTAATTAATTTCTTTTTTTTAAACTTCTTACGTATTGAATTAAAATCGATGTCATTAAATAAGTTATTTAATAATATAAATTAAATAAATATAATTATAATAATATTATATTGAATGTAATAAATATATAAATATTGTATAACATTATATAAAATTAGTATAAATTATTATATTAAAGTCATGTTATATTCTATTATTAAATATCGAATACTAACAAAGAGTGACATCCAACACAGAAATTTAGAAAATTATAAAATTGTAACTTTATGCACATGGAATCTTTTTCCTGTCGAAAGAGGTGTACAATATTTTTGCTGTTTTTACCTGTTCGTCTTACTTGAATTGTGAAAACAATTTCCAAGGTAAAAGTTATTTTCTTAATTAAGACAATCTTGTGATAAAAGGTTTTTTAATTGTTATAACTAAAAAGAAGTTATAAACAAAAGTATTAATAATTTTTTGTCAAATTAATCTTTTCACGTGAAATTTTCATCAGTAGATGATATATTTGTGAGATATAAAAAAGTAAAAACTACTAGAACTCATATTTAATGATCTTGATGATGAATATTATTAAAACTACCTCCTGAATGAAGTTCGAAAATTTTTTCCAACCGCTCGTTGTACTTTGAAAAACTTTAATTTAGGATTATTGATGACAAGTATAAAATATTATTTTGTACCATATACTGATTTCTTTGTGTCAAGAAGTTAATGGGAAAGTCTTGCGAAAATTATAAAAATTTCTTATGGTGAATTTGCTGAATTGAGAGGGTCACCTTAAGGTCTTACTAAGACTATTGAAAGTGTTTTTTAAACTACTGACTAATCTATTACTAAGGCACTTTGAATGCCACTGTTGCAATGCAGCATAATTAAATTAATATAACATGTGTGAACATATGTAAAGGGCAAAGTCATTGGTAGGTTTTCTAAATAGCAATTTTAGTAATAAAAATTAATCTACATTATTGTAATTTTCTAAAAATTATCTAACCTTATGTTTCAAGTTTTCGTATATTCAAAATTAATCGATGATGTAGTAATATTGAACTAATTGCAGTTTGATTAATTACTTTAAAATGTAAAAAATGACAAATGTACACGTTTTAACATAATACATTATTGTATACAAAAGTTCTTTAAATTTCTTTATTCTTTTTAAATTAAATTTTTTTAAATGCATCATTTTCCCTTTGTTTCCTATACAACAATTTCTATAATATAAGTGTATAATTTTATATATATATATTAATGATACATTTTATTATTATAGAAGGTCATTGCATGCAAGTATGAATGTAGAGTGCATGGGAAAATCTGGGCGACTAATAATATAGTATGTGATTAATAATATACTGCATCTTTAAGACTTCTACGTGATAGAACATGGCGTCGAGCAAACAACAGAGCGTTAAGCGAACAGTAGAGCGAAAAATTTATGCGATTGATTTATGTTTTATTAAGATTTATATTGTGACTACATTGAAAATTATACTCTATAGATTATAATAGATTAAAAAAATTCTTTTTGATGTCTAACAAAATAACGAATTCTCTTTAAAAAATGTATAATTCTTTCACGCATTAATACATTTTCATACAGGATTGAAAATGCAATAAAACAAGCTCTAATAAGTATAGTATATTATCCTCAATAATTGCGTTGCAAACACGGTATATAGAAATTTCATTGAATCATTTTTCTCACTTTTCTCAATGAAGAATTTGATGAAAATTTACAGATTATCCAATCGTTCACGTGACAGAAGCAAAATGATCTACAAAGATGTATGATTTGTTATTAGATTTTAAAAGCAGTTTTATCATGAACAAAAATATATTAAAACACGAGATGATAATACAATTAGAATTGCAATTTCACGAGCAACGACTTTTAAATCAATCATGAACTTTATTTATTTTATTGTACTGTATCAATTTATTGTATTCTATCGAATTGGTTGTTAAATAATAATTAGTAACAACCGGCAGCAATAATTCATTTCACATTAATCACAATCTTCAATCATTAATCAGATTATTTAATTACCCAATTCTACCCTTCAACAACATTAATCGTATTAAAAAAAAAAAAAAAAAAAATCAAAGGTTCTCATCGTTCGATGAAAGTAAATTGGGGGTGGCAAACATAATAGCACCAGATGCAGGGATAGTTATCGAACCCGATGAAACAAAGGTACCCGGACGAAGATCAGAATCGCCGATAACAGTATGAACTACCAGGTCAAAAGGAAATGGCAACACAGTCTCAGCGTCTAAAGTGACAGGTACATCGATAAAACCAAACAGCACAAATATCCTATCTCTCCCGTAAGCTCGCATAACACACAAAACCCTTGAATCACACACGGTGATATTCAGAGAGCCGTGCGCGACAACCGCTCGTTTTTTCACCATTACTGATTTCTTGAATTTCTCGTATTGCGTGATATATATGTCTCGCTGTGCCTCCAGATTCACAGTCTTGTAATTCGAATTCACAGGTAGCCAAGTTTTCGCTTTGGTAGAAAAACCAGCGCTGGTGCTGTTATTCCATTGGTACGGCGTTCTCGCGGGATCTCTAGATTTCAAGTGATATCTATTGCGACCGGCGCTACAACCGGCCGGGTCCACCGTCTCGGCGTAAGTGAATTTCCTGTCCACCATACCGATCTCGTCGCCGTTGTAAATCACCGAAATGCCAGGCATAATCATCGACATCAACATAACATCGTCGGCTCGTACATGACCGAATCTCGTGGCCACGCGATGATTGTCGTGATTACCAACAACCCAATTCGGAACGCTGCCTTTCGGCGCTGTCCTCACCCACTTGTCGATCAGCGTTTTATAGTCTGCTGGTTTAGATTTGTTGTGCAGCTGGTTAACGAACATGAAGTTAAAAGGAACATTAGAGCCAGCGTTGTAGTATTTAATGGTCAGATCGTGAGTGGTGTACGCTTCCGTGAGAATCAGCTTCGGATCGGATTTCGTACGATTCGAGTGTTCGTCCATCAGTTTCCTCCAGCTTTTCAACGTTACGTAGGTCTCGTTCTGATCCTTCGTGTAAATGTGGACCAAGCTGTCGTAGTCGTCCTTAGGGATGCCGGTTTTGTTGCTGCGTGGCTCGTCCCGGAACTTGGCGTCCTCGAACATGAAATTGATCGCGGCGATGCGAAAACCGTCGACCCCGCGATTCATCCAAAACGTTAACACGTTCTTCATCTCCTAATTACAAAAACCAAAAATAACTGTTACTTCAAAAATTTTTGGGAAAAATATCAGTTGTTATTCAAGTTAAGTATACTAATCATAAAATGAAAATAACTTTTAAAATAAAAACATGTTTTTAAAAAATCATGTAACTACGAAATTTTTATTTCTAAATGTCTTGGTTATAGATAACGATTAAAAATGACAAAAATTTCTTTCGTTGTCCATAAAAGAGAAATTCTATTTCAGTTTTCTCAAAATACGAGGGTATAAAGTATTGTTTTTGATTTAATCACAACATTTTAAAGGCCGTAGAATTCCGATGTAAATCTCGCGGAATTTGATGAAGAGAAAAGAACCGAAGTAAAATTCCCTCATTAAAAACGATTAGTGGCACCAAGAAAGTTATTCGCTCACTTACAATCGTTATTTCGAACCAAAAACATTTGAATCATAAAACTAATATGCTCTAACTTTGTTCGTTTTATGGTTATAACAGTTGTGATCCCTGCCTGATTCAACGCTGCGCTGCGATAATTCAAATCCGGTTGAGCCGCAGCGAATTGGTGCAGATAATATTGCTTGCGCACGTCGTTCCATTGCCAGGCCGAGCCCCCGAAGTTGCTCAGCCAATTGTTTGGTGGCTGTCTCTTCCCGTTGACGATCTTGCCGTTCTGCCAGATGTAGTACCCGTCATACGGTTTAACCTTGCGAACACTTTTCTGGAACCAGGGATGCTGGTTAGAGCTGTGATTAGGCACGAAATCCATGATCACTTTGAGCTTGAGCTTCTTGGCTTTGGCTACCAGCTGATCGAAATCGGCCAGAGTTCCATAACTCGGGTCGACGTCCGTGAAGTTGGAGATATCGTAGCCGAAGTCGACTTGCGGGCTCTTGTAAATCGACGACAGCCAGATGGCCTTAGCGCCTATGCCTACGACATGCTCTAACTTGCTTGTAACGCCTTTCAGGTCACCGATACCGTCTCCGTTGCTATCCTTGAAGCTCCTCGGATAGATTTGGTACACGATGATGTTCTTGTACCAGTTTACGTCCACTGCCGCGCCCCATGAGACGAACAGGGAACACGTTACGAGCGTCAACCGAAACATGATTGAACTATCTGAAGTAGTGAAAATGCGGCCGACATTTTATAAAACGTGACGGGATTAACTATCTGTTTGCGTGCACGCTTCTTTATAAAATTTTCTTCGATAGCGAGATGATAGATACTTGGACACTATCTTGATCCATTTTTATTTGTTTTTTAGTTAGTCTTCCTAAGCAGGGAAGTTTCCATTAATTGTTTACGATGCTACTATTCTTACGATGTCAAGTCGCTTGGCAAATGCTAGATTCGTTTATCAAACACAAGAGTCCATTTTATTCGTTAGCTTTTGTTGCTTGATAAATCAAAGACGAATATAATGAATCATGTTCGTTCTAAATATGTTCAGAATGTTTCTAATATTACTAGATAGATTATTCTTGACCATACATTTCATGTTTTCCGAAATCGGCGAGATGTCCCTTGTTTTAAATATTCTTTATTCAAGTTTCGACACAAACAAGAAAAAAACACAGGACTAAGCCTATAAATCGTTTTATTTAATAGTATTGACATTGTAAGCAACAGTGGCTTATTTTATTCATTTTTGGCTACATTCAAACAACGTATTTGAAAAATGAAAAATTAAATTTATCATCTCGTTTAGCTAGATCTAGCCTTCTTTTTTCCTTTCTTGTTATTTATTGCCACATCAATCGATTATTAGCGATACGATATGAGGATTATAATTTATTACGATTCTTGAGATGACGATTTAGTTGCGACAGACTGTTTATTTCTTATTTTATATTCGAATAAATGTTTATTCAATTAAACGAAAGTTCTTAGTTACTTGATTAAAATATACTAGAATTAAAATTATATATTCGAATGATCATATAAACGTCGTCTATCATAACGTATTGTACTATCACTATTGGGTGAAATAGTATTTGAAATAGAAGATAAAAATATTTACAGAGATTATGTTCCACACACTAAAATAATTATTTATCTATATATCAATTGAAATACTATTTGATTTTACAAGTATATTCATTTTGTATGTTAATTATAAATTTTTCAGTATATTTAATTATTATTATATATATTATTAAATTATAATTAGTTATATATTACATTCAATATTAATTATTTATATATAATTATATTATTATATCAATACATATTGTATCAATATTAATTATACTATTATATAATATAATATATTATAATATATTTATGTTCTATTATACCAATATTAATTATGCTATTATACCAATACATTTAATTTTAAAAATAAAATCAGTTCGTAATGTATAATAATGATTCTATTATTCTTTCACACACTGTATTTTTAGTAATTTTACACTTTTAGTCATATCAGCAGACAGGAATCCAGTTTTTATTGGAAGATCGTAATTCCATTTCGTCCAGACTCCAACAAACTATGATCAATTTTCTAATTTTTGATTCAATAAGATCGATCCCATCTACCTGATGATCTACTTGAATTCTCAAACATGCAGTGACTATCATTATAAAATAATTCTGCTGAAAGGCCAAAGGAGGCCTTGAAATGGTGAATTCGACCATCATCATCTATCTTTGTTTTACGTATTCATTTGCAGGAAAAAGTATATTTCTCTCAAGCAAATGTCACCAATTTTCATTATTGCATATAAATTTGCGATATTTTATGTATTATATGTTACTGAGAATTTTCTGATATTTTCAGATATGAAGCAATTAATATTATAAAATAATTCTACCACATTCTGCCACGAGGCCAAATTTTATCTAACAATTTTCTAATCTTCGTCTCTTGATCTAATATTTATCTGATGATCCATTCGAATTCTCAAATAGTGGTTTCTTCACGACTTTCATTTTGTGTACAATCTGTTACCAAATCTGGATTATTTTCGTGATAGGAAATGCATTGTAAGAGTAAGATGGAAATTTCTCGATTTTCAGGCTTCGGTTTAGTGATCTATATCACAACTCGCAATTCTGCTTTTGCAGAAAATGTACATCATTGTTGTTACCATTCTGCAGTGGAACATTTTGTCGAATGACAATCTCAGTTTTTTGTGAATCACATTATTTATCAAATAGTTGACTAGATTGTTTGCTAGTCAGAATATAAGAATCATGGTAAAATTCACTCGCATCTTTTGCCCTTTGTAAACTAGAAATAATTGTGAAAACGAAGAAACGAGTTAATACATAATTCATAAAACATAATTCAAATAATTATGCTTCATCTTTATTTCGTATAAAATAATTCGCCTAATCCACTTGAATGTTTAATACATACTATATATATTTATTAGTCAATAATGAAATAATTAATTCAAAGAAGGACAATTATAATAATTACGTATTGAATAAATAATATCAAAAGTATATGTTTGAAGACGAATGTATTCTTATTGTTTTCTGATTTGTTATGTGCTCTTCGTTCAGTATTAAACTTTAGGTTTTTAGCAATTTTAAACACCCGAAGGAGCAAAATAAATGAATGTACAACATAGGATAAAATTATAAGATACTCTGTATATTTGTAAATTTCGTACGGTCGAAAGAGAGTGAACACACAGAATCATAAATTCGTGTGATACACGACAGAGTAGTTGAGAAAAGAAACATAAATATGAATTGACATTGCCTGAACGAAATTGTAAGATAGTAATACAAAACATGTATAGATACATATTTAACCAAAGCATCGCTTACCCATTTTAATAATTCTGAAATATATTTTATTAACTAATAAATATTTTATTAAATATAATATTTTGTTAAATATTAAATATTTTATTATTATTAAATATAGTTTATTAAATATTAAATATTTTATTAAATATAGTGTATTAAATATTAAATATTTTATTAAATATTAAATAATATGTGTATATATATTAGAATATTCTCTATAATATTATTATAATATAATACACACGTATATACATTACATAATACATGTATGCATAAATATCAAATATTGAAAGAAAATATATTTTATTAAATAAGTTAATATTGTTCATTGTGCGATATTCGTGCATTGCAATTTTGATTTACGGCGTATTCTTACTGATAAAAATAATTTTATTTACCTACGTACAATAGTTAAAATGCTTCTTTTTTAAATATCGTTTTGGCGTAGTTCCTTCAAAGTATCATACATTTAATTGAAAAATGTTATTTAATTCTACATTATATATTTAACTAAAATCATTTACATTCTACACGATATCTATATTTTTCCATCTGAAAAATTCCAAAAATACAAAAGCTATCGATTTCAGAATTCAAAAATTTTTTAAATAGAGTTGCTGTGTATGTTTTCAATGACTGCAATGAACAGCAATTTTATTCTTCCCATTTTCATTTTTAATCAAGATATATATATATATATATATATATATATATATATATATATATATATAATTTTTAATAAGATAAAAATATATCAATAGAATATGATCTAAATTCTGATTTTTTACACACACACACACACGTATACAGCTTTTAGTTTATTATATACGAGGTGTTGTATACATATATAGGGAAATAGAACACGGAATGATATAAAAATGAATCGGAGAAAAAAGAATAACAGTTTTTTTTTCTTGAAAAAATCAATTTCGAAAATTTATCAAATGTTAACCAATTTTTAACAAAACATATTCAAAACCTATTTTCTTGAAAATGAAGTTTTAAACGAGAAAATTTCACTCTACATTTTTTAATCTTAACTTCCTATTAATTATTCTTTTCTGTTACGTTTAAAATTAGCTACATAAATTCAAGTATACTATATTTGAGTTTTTGAGTTTGTTAAACTCGATTTTCTCAAAAAATAAAGTCTTAGATGAAAAAATTTTATTCCACGTTTTTGATATATTTTTTTCACGAGAAATCATCTTCTTCTCTATTTCCTACTTGTATGCAGCTTTTTTCGTGTAATATAGCACTATAATATTTAAATAATGTAATATAGCTTTTGTTATAATATTTAAATAATGCTACTTTACAGCAACTGGCATTGTTATTAATAACAAAGAATTTTGACCTTCAACTGATTATTAAACTCGTAGAGGAAAACATAGGATGAAACTTTCTTATTCTAAGTGTCACTTTCAAGAAAATAGACTCTGAAAACATTAAAATGAATTAATTTTATTTTACATTCTTCGTTTATTTTTGCAGGTAGAATGAAATAAATATTTTATCAATTAAACACTTCCGTGCAATCCAGAATTATTATTTAAATTTAAATGTACTCGATAGATTTCCGAACTTGAATTCCTGATTCAATTTTATTCCCTATTATTTATATTTATATTTATAGTCTTATGTCATTGTTTATTAACTGTCTAAATTATTTTGGCTGCTGTTAATGTTAAAAAAGAAATGAGTAAATTCAAATGGATTTAAAATGGTTTCAAGGCGTGTGTTCGATGTTATTAGAAAAAATCCTGTGAAGATCATTTCGATAATTTTCTTCGCGTAGTATTTGTTTGAGCATATTGACGTTCATTTTTTTATAATGCAACATTCGACGTCGAAACGAATAGAACGATCTCTAACAGCTGAATGATCTTAAAGGCTGAAAAAAGAAAATTAAAAATTTAAAGAATTTAAAAGTAAAGAATGTAAAAATAATATAACGAGAACAGTAATTATTTTATGACCTTCAAAATGTTGATGTCAAAATATGTTCGCACATAATTAACGAACGATTGAGCAGCATTTTTTATGGCATTTACGCTTCTAGAATCAAAGACTAAAAATTATCACATTTTTGTATTAAAATACTTATATTTTATTATTTAATAATTATTTTTAATATCAATATCTGTACTAATTTTAAGATCTAATATATTAGTAATTATATTAGTATGGGAAGATTTGGGATTAATTTTTGAATTATGCAGACAAATAACATATCACAAAAATTTTTGTGAAAAAAAAATCAATAACTGAAATTGTTAAAATGTTAAATTAGAGTACTTTATTTTTTAGACTGTCAAAAGGGAGCCACTTTATTTTGTGGTATAAATTGTTAGAATGGAAATATTTTTCGTTTGTTGAAATGTTACATCCTAAAATACTAATTAAAATATATTTAGAATGTATTTAAAATACATTTTAATGTATTTAAAATACAGTATATTTTATTTAAAATACTAATTATATTTTATTTAAGCCGAGCGGAATTTAAGGTACTGTAATAGTATTTGAAATATTTATTTATTTGTAATAGTATTTAATATTATATTTGCAATCGTTGAGACTTTCCAAATTTATTTGAGATCTGATTCGATCGTATGTTATGAAAAGCTGAATAGCAATGAGGTATCTGCGTTCAAACAATCATGAAATCACATCGCTGTCAACAAAACTAAGTATCAGATCGATCATCCAAATTAAATTTAAGGTTAAATGTTATTCGGATGTTAAATGTAAATCTAAACAAAAAAAATTAAAATACGCACGAAAAACAATATTTGATATTAACAATATACTTTGCAATTACTGTGAACATTATATAGTACTTTTAATAATTACAATAAATTGTAAGCATTTTTTTGATATTCGGAGATGCTAATTGAAGACGTTTATTTGTAAAAATGACCACGTCACACGATGGCAACGTACTTGAATTTATTTTAGCAATTTTATGGCATATATATCAATTCTTTTCGCCAATGTCGTTGGTATTGTATCTTTTTTCTGTTTTTCTAAAATCGTAGTTAGCCTTTTTTTATTAATTTTTTCTTCAAAGTCACCAGCAATATTTTTTAAGTGATTTGTACAATTGTATATGTTCCGATCTAATTCTATGGAAGCTTTTGCGTGCTTTCATGTGATTTATAATTTGTAAAAAGGATACTTTTATTAGGTACTTTTATTATTGACAGAGAGTTTAGTAAAAGTCCGAATTAATTTAATTAGATATGTATTTATTATGTTATTTCTTACGAATGACAGATATTTACGGAAAACAATATTCGGAATTAAATGATACATCTGTTTTTATACACAAATATGTAAAACGTAAGCATTATGCGAAGCATGTAAAATGAAAGTTATCGTTTGTTTTAAATCTTCCACTAATGTTTATTTCATATTTTATTAATATTAACAACGTATACATTTGTACATTGAAGATTGCACGATATGACTTGATATTTTTATTACGAAATATTGTCCTTCTTATAAGTTCAAAAGATTCTTCATATCGCCATAATACCAATATTGTTTAACAAAATTGCTAATTCTGGACGAAAAATGTGTAATCTTTTTATAGTATAAAATAACTTCATACGTGATTAAAATTATAACACAACATATTTTATAAATAACCCTTCGACAGTTAACTTTCACAAACACAGAATTTATACAATCTACGTTATGTGATTATAATCGAATCGTGTATAAAGAAAAATGATTATGTTATTAGTTTGTGTTAAAAGCGTCTCTATCAGAAGCATAAATATTTTCAATTTACAAATAAACTGAAACGCAATCATCTCATGAATCACGATGTTCAAATCAATCTGTGATCTTCGATTACAACGACCTTAATTGTCTCATTAATAATTATATACTATTTAATGATACTTCGTAATCGTAAATAATATATATTTCGTAATAATTCGTAATAATTCGTAAATAATCAATAATAATGTTTTCACGTTAAAATCATAAAATCCCCGGTCATTAACCGGGATATTTTATTGCTTCAATTCCCACACTTAACCACTTGCGCTGGCAACCGATTGCGGACCATAACGAGTGACCAAACCGTGTACAACAATTCGTCTCCTTTTTTGAATTCATCGGTACATCACTGGACAGAAATTACTAAAAAAGCAATAAATTTTTTTAATTGTTTTGCCAGGGTTGTACTTAAGAAAATTTTATTTATTACACTGAGAAAATGTTGCAATTTTTGTGACAAAAAATTCTCGACGTGGCGCGTCGTTCCAGCGCAAGAGGTTAAACAACGCTCAAGAGACTGGTTCAAAGGGACGCGGTTCAAACATCCTCCTCATCCATCGACCAAAGTAAATTGGGACTTGTGAACATGACACTGGATGATTTCGGAATAGTCAACGAATCCGTGGAGACGAAGGTGCCTCGACGAAACTCGGAATCACCGGTGACAGTGTGAACGACCAGGTTAGAAGGCAATGCCCCAGCGTCCACAGTGACAGATTCATCGGCGAAATTGAACAACGACACCACGACGTCGTTCCCTAGTGTGCGAGTGATGGTCAAAAGTTTGTCGTACACGTTGACCTTGAAGGAGCCTCGCACGATCACCGGTTGCCTCTTTATGCTGGCCGCGGTCTTGAATTGCCAGTAGGGCGAGTAGTACATCTTCTTCTCAGCCTCCAGGTTCAGAGTCTGGTAGTTCGGGTGCACGGGTAGCCACGTTTTCGGACTGGTGGAGAAACCAGCGCTGGTGCTGTTGTTCCATTGGTACGGCGTTCTCTCGGGATCTCTGGACTTGAGGAAGTATCGAGTGGGGCCGGCGTTGCAACCGGCCGGGTCCACCGTCTCGGCGTACGTGAAGTTTCTGTCCACCATACCGATCTCGTCGCCGTTGTACACCACCGAGATGCCAGGCAGAACCATCGACAGCTGGATAATCTGCTGGGCACGTTGGACACCGAATCTCGAGCCCACGCGATGGTTGTCGTGATTACCCACCACCCAATTCGGAACGCTGCCCTTCGGCACTGTCTTCACCCACTTTTCGATCAGTTCTTTAAAGTCCTCCGCTGTGGACTCGTTGGTCAGCTTGTTGATGAACATGAAGTTGAAGGGAACGTTGGAGCCAGCGTGATAGTATCTAATGGTATTCTCGTGATTGGTGTACGCTTCCGTGAGAATCATCCTCGGATCGGATTTGGTGCGATTCGAGTGCTCGTCCATCAGCTTACGCCAGCTGCTCACCACGTCGTATGTGTCGTTCTGATCCACGGTGTAAATGTGGTTCAAGCTATCGTAATCGTCCTTGGGGACGTCGGTTCTGTTGGAGTCCGGCTCGTCCCGGAACTTGGCGTCCTCGAACATGAAATTGATCGCATCGACGCGGAAACCGTCGACGCCGCGGTTCATCCAGAACGTGAAGACGTTCTTCATCTCCTGAATTGCAGGAAATAACAGTTATTTCAAAAATTTTTTCCGGAAAATATCAGTTATTCAAGTTAGAGATATTGGTCACAAAATACAAATTTGTTAAACAACGTAATAATAACAAAATTTCGATTTTTAAACACCTCGCAAGTGACGAAAACTTTTTCGTTCCTGGCAAATATTATTGAAAAGAGAAGTTATACCTCAATCGCCAATATAGGTATAACAGTATAAAGTATTGCTTTTCGTTCAATCAAAACATTTTAAAAGCCGTAGAATTTTTTGATGGAATAAATGATAAAAGATATTTCAATTTGAAATTTAATTAGAAAAGTGAAATAGACTAAAAATAATAGTTATAAAAATTTTTTATGGAAAAATTCAATGAAATTTGTTTATCACTTACATTGAGAATATTACTCTCAAAGCGTAAAGAAATTTTTTATGAAATTACAAAAAATTCAAGAAATTAAACATCTTGGTTACAAATAACAATTGCAAATGACTGAAAATTTTTCTGGCTGCCAGTAATCATTATGAATGAGAAGAATTCTATTTCGGTTATAGTAGGTATTATTAACAGAAATTAATTTCGATCATTTATAATAGTTATCGACGAGGAAAACTCAATTTCGGTCGTTCATAATACTGCAAAGTGTAAAGTATTGTTTTGCCTTCTGAAACAATTCTCCGCAACTACGGAAACATTGTAAAAACATTTTAAAGTTACTTTCTGATGTAAATTTCCGTCAATAATTGTCATCAGCAACCGAAAGGAAGTTTTCCTCACTTTATTTTTATTTTTATCGAAATAAATTTGTCTCATCGATAATGGTCATCAGCAACGGAAAAAAATTTTTCTTGCAATCGTTATTCGAAATGAAAAATATTTTAGTTAAGAAAATAGTTGTTGCTCTATGATAGTTTTCATTCTGGTCATATATTAGGTTGGGCAAACGTTCTTTTTTTTTTCTAATTTATTAAGCAATATGATATCTGATTATTCAAACTCGTTTCAGAAAAGAAATGCACGATTTTAACAATTGGAGAAAGAAAATGTTCCTTTCCTATTCAAAATGGATCTACTGTACTGGAGAATTATCTGAGGTGTATGCTGAAGTACAGTAAATTATGATAGTGTCAGAATTCGTTTACTATATTTCACTTCTTAGAAATCTTTTTCTTCGAAAAATATGAGAACTTTTTTGAACTTTCATGAAATTACCTGCAACACAAAAAGCAAAAGATAATCGAACAAACTGATCAATATGTTAATAAAGTTTTTGCTTCTCATGAAAAATTTGCTTTCCATTCCCACACACAAAAAGAAAGAAGCAGTTACATTTTGGCCCACCTAATATACAATTATGGTCTCTGAAAAGAACCGAAATGGTAAAAAAAATTCTATTCCCTCACTTGTATTTCTACCCAAAGAAAACTATAACTTTTACTATTTCTATCCAAAAAAAAAAGAAACATTTTAATTTCAAAATAAACTACTATTCTCTAACTTTCTTTTTCATTTTATGGTATATATAGTAGTATATATAATAATAATATACTATATAGTATATATAATATATATAATATATATAAATATAATTTCTTGCCTGATCCAAAGCCTTGCTGCGATAATTCAAGTCCGGTTGACCCGCAGCGAATTGATGCAGATAATACTGCTTGCGCACGTCGTTCCATTCCCAGGCCGAGCCCCCAAAGTTGCTCAGCCAGTTGTTTGGCGGTTGTCTCTTCCCGTTGACGATCTTCGCGTCCCGCCAGACGTAGTACTGGTCGTACGGTTTGATCCTTTGAATGCTCTTCTTGAACCATGGATGCTCGTGAGAGCTGTGATTCGGCACGAAGTCCAGAATCACCTTGAGCTTGAGCTTCCTGGCCTTGGCTACCAGCTGATCGAAATCGGCCAGAGTTCCATAACTTGGGTCGACGTCCGTGAAGTTGGCGATGTCGTAGCCGAAGTCGACTTGCGGGCTCGTGTAAATCGGCGAGAGCCAGAGGGCCTTCGCGCCTATGTCCGCGATGTGCTCTAACTTGCTCGTGATACCTTTCAGATCGCCGATACCGTCCCCGTTGCTATCTTTGAAGCTCCTCGGATAGATTTGGTACACGATGATGTTCTTGTACCAGTTCACGTTCACCGCCGCGGCCCACGCGACGAACAGGCAACACGTTACCAGCGTCAACCGAAACATGATCGGAGCAACGACTGAAGCAACGACAATACGATCTACATTTTATAAATCACCGCGCGATAAATTATCTGTTTGCATGCACGTCTTTCTATAAAAGTTTCTCGATAGTACTTGAATACTATCTCGCTGAATCATTTTTATTTGTTTTTTTTCTTTTTCTTCTTCTTTTCATTTTCTCATTTTTCGTAGACAAGAAAATTTCCGCGAATTGTTTTTTACGTTGCCGTGTATCATCGGAGATTTTTTCACGCCCGATAGGTGTTCCTTGATAGACGTTAACTGGTGATTACTTAGATCCGTTCGTTGTAAATTGTCGAACGTTAAAAATTGCGTCTTCTTGTCTCGCTCGCTAGCCTTTCACCTCTTTAGAGCGATAGGGCGGAGTCGAACGTAGAGAATGTTCTAAATGCTCGCAGTATTGTTCAATAAATTATCCCTGGCAATGTATTTCGAGCTCGTTGCAATCGGTGAGGAATCCTTTGTTTTAATTATTTGTTATACAAGACTATGTTTATGAATCATTTTATTAAGTACTACAGATGTTATATATATAACAAAGTTCTAGCGTTAAATTGTATATTTCAAAGATAAATTTGAATTATAAACTTTGTAATTTAAAGTGTATACTTTAAAAACAGTAAATTAAATAATATATAATTTATTCAGCTAAATGTTAATTGAAACTACTAAGTGTTAATTTATTTGAACATGGAAATCATTATTATTTTATGTTCTTCTTGTTATTTTATTATTTGTTTATTAAATGAAACAACTTTCCATTTTATTTTTTATTCTGTATTTGAATAAATTTTTGTTAAAATAATTTCTAAAATATTGATATAAATTATCTAGAGTTTAATCTAGTAAATATTCTTAGAATTAAAGTTACGCATTTAAAATTAAAATTAAATAAATTATATAAACACCGTAAATGTGTGTCGTGTATTTCCAGTGCTGAATAAAATAGTATTTAAAACTGAGAATAAAAGTATTTTGCAATGTTGCATTGATCAATTTGAAATAATTGTTCATTTTTATTCCAATTGAAATATTCGTTTAATTTTACAAGCACATTCACTATGCATTTCAATCATAATATTTTTGAAGATAAACTTGAAATGATTATTTAAAATAATCGTACGTCACAATGAAATATTCCATAGAATTTTCACGATATTTGAAAGATCAGAATATGTCTTTAATAATTACTTAACAAATATGGTTACGGCAATTACTTGAAAATATAATACCCAAATACCCAAATATGTAAATATTTGTTTCTCCTACCGTTTCTTTCCTTCTGAATTAATAATCATGAAAAATATTGAGAAATAATGAAACAATGTAATTTATAATTCAGATCTTTCGTTCAATTAAATTACAATTGGATTACAATGAAACGCAACGTATCAGAATTAGTATTTAAAAGGTAAGAAGATGTGAAAGAGCGGAATTCAGAGATAATAAAATTTGAAAAGTGACGAGGAAAATTTTTTTCAAGGCGCGGAAAAAAATTAATGTTAGTAGTGAACGTGTTGTTATTCATAAATTCATATTATGTGAACAGGAATGTTCGTTTTAAACAGCAAACGCAAATTTAGAAAGTGAAATAAGTACCTTCTTTATCAAACTTATAAATAATAGAAAATATTATTTGAAAAAAGTTGAATGAAACGCTATTTAAAAAAATAAAATAAAATTTGAAAAAGTCAATACAGGAATAAAATAATTATCTAATAGTAGAGAAATTAAAAAAAAAAACAATGTTCTTAGCTTGTTATTAATTATAACTTATAGGATCACATTGATAGAAGTCACTAATTTGATAACAATTATCAGCCAACTTTAAATTTATTAAACAAATACTCTTCTTTCAAATATTTTATCACTAAGGTTGTTTGATTTTGAAAAAATTAGTCATCGTCGCATAAGAGTTGATGAAGAGAGTGGTGTGTCCCATAAATTCTTTCAATTAGATATCCATCGAGCAAAGATTTATCTTGTAATCGATCTTTAAAATATTGAAGCATACAGAGTTCGGCGATATTGATCCAGATTTCGGAATTTTAAGTAACTCTAATATATTGCATTTCAGTTACATAATAATTTAAGTATGCTGTAATTCAACTATACTACAATTCAATTACGCTCGTAGTTATAATAATTAGTAATTAAATTAATTAAGAAGTATTGAACTTTAATTTAATTTAGTAATTTAGTTACAATGTAATTGCAAATTCTTTTCATATATAATTACTAATCGAGAAATTTCAATTTTTTTTAGATATATAAATGTGACTCTGAGCTTTGTATTTCAATATTTTTTATATCAAAATGTTACACAACAATGAAGTTAGCTTCACAAATTATTTCAATCGCTAGTCGCTATCGCTACAAAGAACTAAACATCTGAAATAAACATTTCCATTACTATAATTTGTTGGTAGAAACATAAAGATTTTCAGTATCTCGATTATTTATTTAATGATTTACAAATATTTAAAACTACTTAATCTCAATTTAAAGCTATTTCAACATTTCATTACTTCAAACTTTTAAAATTTCATTTTTATTATTCGATTATTTTTCGAACTGAGAAAATGAATTGGAAATCATATCTGTGACACGTGTATAGACAATTGCGACAGCATACCTACGTTCTTGCATCCTTACGGATGCACGTCGCGACGATAACGCGACGCCTCGTGGACGATAGTAGAGTGCCTAACATTGATTGCGACATTAAAGAGTAATGGCAATCGTTATTTTATTGCGCCCCGGATATTCCTATCAATAACGTACGTGTGATTCCTACAATATCTAGAATTTTTCATCTTTCAGATCGCTGTTGGGACTTTCGGATCGTCTTGTGACATCTAATCGTCGCGCACGTTGCAACGATTGTCTGTACACGTGTGTGGTTTCCTTTAATCAATTAATTAATTTTATTTTTTTTACTATTTTTATGTCAATAAATATTTATTTAATTAAACCGTCATTATTATTTATATAATTTTAATTAATTATTAAAATTAATTATTATTATTATTTTAATTATTAATAATAATTATTATTACCGTCATTATTATTTATATATATATAATTTTAATTATTATAATTAGAGGAATAATAATTTTATTTGTTTAATTAATTTACAAAAAATTATAAAAAAAATAAACGTAAATTTTATTATTTTATAATATATATATTTATTATAATAATTATGTTAGTTTATTTTAATTTTAATTTTTTATTATTAATAAAAAAAACTTTAAAATTTATAATAATAATTATATTTGTTCAATAATAAAATTATTTTATTTCCCAAATTATATAATTTTCTTAATAATTATTTTATTTATAATTTCATCAAAAATGTGATTTTAACTAACAATACAAAAATGACAATACTTTGACACGTTGAATATCATGGTGAGACCGGCGAATCGAAGATTAATAAAAACATCTAACTCGATTAAATGTTAATACTTGCAAATTTTTTTATAGCTTCGTTTCACTACAATAGTGTGAAGAAATTAACGCAGTACAAAGCATACAAAAATTATTTTATTTATAATATGTATGTGTTAATATTATTCACGCATATTGTGATATATCGTATTAAAGCACTACAAACAAAGAAAAGATAAGTCAATACAGTCTTCACAATGTGACGACTTTTTTTATACAATTCCTTCCTTTTGTTCAACCTAATTGTTTTGAATTTTTTTCATAACATTTTCTATAAAATCGTCGCCCGATCCTGGTTTTCTTACCATTTTTTTCTTCTTTTTTTTTTTCATTTCATGGCACCGTTTTCTCTATAGACTTGTACGTGAAGAAATGCAATCCTCAATTGTTCACTATATCGTAAAAATAAAATATCTTAAGAAGTAAGTGAAAATCGAAGAAACGTACTTGACCGCCATGGAGGTCACCGGCGACCCCCAGTAAACATGTTTATATGCTTCAACTTATCTCGTTGATAGATAATACCTATTGTATAATAAAAAAAAATTCAACGTGTCAAAGTAAGAAGACCCATTTTTGCCAATGAAAATTCAGTTTAAACGTTTGTAAATCATAATTAAAATCAGAAGTTAGATTGTCTAGATAATACGCTAGATAATACGTTCCTACTTGTAAATTAACAGAAACTTTTTAGTTCAGATGCACCTTACGTAGCTATGGAAGCCAACAATTGAAATAATTCGGGAAAGAAATGAGTAATTTTTGGGATTTCGCACGAAAATTAATCAACTTGACTCGATTCGTATTTTCGTGTACCTCTTACATTTATTTGGCACGTATGAATTCCTATTACACTGTCAGAGGTATGCATTGTCAAATAAAATCAATTTTCAAATACTATCTTAATTCACAGCTTTCACAAATTTAATTTCAAACTTTGGAAGATTGTACATGTATTAACGTCATAAAATGCATTTTTTTTTTTTTTTTATTTTAATGTTAACGGCAATGAAAAATTAAGGCAGTGAAATCTGTAATTATTGATTCAGTTATGCTCTCTACCGTATTATTTATTACGTATTTATTATGAACGAAGTGATAGTAATAATACATTTAAAAAAAGTATAAATTCAATATTTATATTATTATTTTTTATATATATTTATTTATATTACTTTATTTTTCTTGCTTTGGGTTGCTATTTTTTATATATATTTATTTATATTTACTTTATTTTTCTTGCTTCGAGAAAAGTAAAAAAGGAAACGATGCGATGAAACGATCGAATATCGAATGATGCCTACGTGATCAATCGCCGGTTTTACGCTTATCTATTTTATTTGTCTTCAGTTACAAGAAATATTATTTCTTGTAAGTACGCCGTGAAGATTTGTTAAAGAAAATAACTGAAAAATGAATAAACTAGGAAATTACATTTATAGAAAGCAACGATGTTACTTGCGTAACTATTTCATACATTACTTGCGTAACTCTGATAACAGATAAAAGAAAATTAAAAATCATTTATTATAGATATCTATTTTATCTAGTCCAAATAAAGGACAATCTCATCCTTGAAAATCAGAGGTATGAAATAAATTATTTTTGATATTTGAATCATATTTTATTTGAATCATTTTTATTTGGATAAAAAATTTGACTATTGTTCATGATAAAAATTATGCTTTTAATTGTTTATCATTTCTTATTCGAATAGAAAGTTTGCTCAAATTATCCGATACATCGGAGTAGAATTAGTCTCGATAATTTTCACCGATAAATTGAATTTCACCATTTAATAGTTCGAATTTCACTTTCCTCGAAATGCGAACACTGCATGAAGATATACGATAACATATAAGCATGTGTTCAAATTCTGTAAAATAAGCTAAAAACATTCAAGATCGTATTAATCTTTATATGAAAATTGGATCAATTTAATTTGTAAGAAATTACAAATTGTGAGAATTTGTTATATTTTCAAACGTCTCGTAAATATTAGTAATCTTTAAAAAAGAAACAAAAAATAAAATGTGTTATTGTGTGTACACTCAAGAAATACTTCGGTATACAATCTCATAGTTTACTTAGGGAACGATTACAATGTTGACATGTTGATAAAGATACATGTAGCATCAATTAAATTGAAATTCACAAATTGCCAATGCAAATAAAATTTCTACACTACTACAAACAACTATTTGTATCATTACTATAAAAATTATTTATATTTTATATATATATATAAAAATAAATAAATAACTAAGCACTAAAATTATAATGTAGATATATATTTAATAAGTCATTAAAATAATAAGAAAATGATCTGAATTTCATTTTTGTATTACAAGTCTTGGAAATATATTGGGCCAACTTGATTCAAATTTATTTAATTGCGGCCATTTATAAATTCCGTACAATGATTAATAGAATGATCTACAAATACAGTTTCATGTAATAAATATTTGAAATAGAGAACACCTGATCGATTTTAACGAATTTGAAATATGTTGTCAAGGATAATCTACTGAAAAAATATTACAAATGAAGCAAACATATTTAGAACATTCTATTGTTGGTCTTATCAAAGAGGTGAAAGGCGAGTGATATAAGAAGATGGAATTCCTCGTGTTCAACTATTTATAACGAATCAAGTATTCACCAGGCGAATTAACAAAGAACATCTATCGAGTATAAACAAATTTTCTAAATTATACAGAAGCGTAGTAAACAGCTTCGACACAAACTTTCTCTGTAAAGAATCAAAAAATAAATAAAAATCATAATCGTTCAACCAACAGAATTATATATGATGTCCAACTATTGTCTTGTTATCATTCACAATCACGTTTATAACGTTAATATCTGTTATTAGTTGATATTCGATAAACAACTCTGCGAGCAAACAGATAGTTAATCCCGTCACGTTTTATAAAATGTCGACCGCATTTCCATTACTTCAGATAATTCAATCATGTTTTGGTTGACGCTTGTAACGTGTTCCCTGTCCATTTCATGGGGTGCGGCAGTGGACGTAAACTGGTACAAGAACATCATCGTGTACCAAATCTATCCGAGGAGCTTCAAAGATAGCAACGGAGACGGTATCGGTGACCTGAATGGCATTACGAGCAAGTTAGAGCATGTCGTAGACATAGGCGCTAAGGCCGTCTGGCTGTCGCCGATTTACAAAAGCCCGCAAGTCGACTTCGGCTACGACATCTCCAACTTCACGGACGTCGACCCGAGTTATGGAACTTTGGCCGATTTCGACCGGCTGGTAGCCAAAGCCAAGAAGCTCAAGCTCAAAGTGATTATGGATTTCGTGCCTAATCACAGCTCTAACCAGCATCCCTGGTTCCAGAAAAGTGTTCGCAAGGTTAAACCGTACGACGGGTACTACATCTGGCAGAACGGCAAGATCGTCAACGGGAAGAGACAGCCACCAAACAATTGGCTGAGCAACTTTGGGGGCTCGGCCTGGCAATGGAGCGACGTGCGCAAGCAATATTATCTGCACCAATTCGCTGCGGCACAACCGGATTTGAATTATCGCAGCGCGGCATTGAATCAGGCAGGAATCATAACTTTAACCATAAAATAAACAAAGTTAGAGGATACTAATTTTATGATTCAAATGGTTTGGTTGACGATTACAAGTGAGCGAACAACTTTCTCGATGCCACTAATTGTTTGGGGAATTTCATTTCGGTTTTCTTTCTTCATCAAATTCCGCGCGATTTACATCGGAAAATAATTCTACGGCCTTTAAAATGTTGTGATTAAGTCGAAAACAATACTTTATAATCTCATATATAAACAACTGAAATAGAATTCCTCTTTTATAGACAACAAAAGAATTTTTTGTTACTTTTAATCGTTTGTTATCTATAACCAAGACATTTAGAAATAAAAATTTCGTAATTACATGATTTTTTAAAAAGTTATTTTTATTTTATGATTAGCATCTCTAACTTGAATAACAAACATGTTTGTACAACTGAAACTTTTCCCAAAAAAATTTTGGAGTAACAGTTATTTTTGGTTCCTGTAATCAGGAGATGAAGAACGTGTTGACGTTCTGGATGAATCGCGGGGTCGACGGTTTTCGCATCGACGCGATCAATTTCATGTTCGAGGACGCCAAGTTTCGGGACGAGCCACGCAGCAACAAAACCGGCATCCCTAAGGACGACTACGACAGCTTGGTCCACATTTACACGAAGGATCAAAACGAGACCCACGTAACGTTGAAAAGCTGGAGGAAACTGATGGACGAACACTCGAATCGTACGAAATCCGATCCAAAGCTGATTCTCACGGAAGCGTACACCACTCACGATCTGACCATTAAATACTACGACGCTGGCTCCAATGTTCCTTTTAACTTCATGTTCATCAACCAACTGAACAACAAATCTAGCGCAATGGACTTTAAAAATCTGATCGACAAGTGGGTGAAGACAGTGCCCAGAGGCAACGTTCCGAATTGGGTGGTGGGTAATCACGACAACCATCGCGTGGCCACGAGATTTGGTCGCCGACGAGCCGAGCAGATTATCCAGATGTCGATGATTCTACCTGGTATATCGGTGATTTACAACGGCGACGAGATCGGAATGGTGGACAGAAACTTCACGTACGCCGAGACGGTGGACCCGGCTGGTTGCAATGCCGGTCGCAACAGATACTACTTGAAAACTAGAGATCCCGAAAGAACACCGTATCAGTGGAACAACAGCACCAGCGCCGGTTTTTCTACGAAAGCGAAAACTTGGCTACCAGTGCACCCGAATTATAAGAACCTGAACCTGGAAGCTCAGAAGAAAGTATCCTACTCGCATTACCAGCATTTCAAAAGTTCAACGAACTTGAAGAAACGAGCAGTGGTCGCGCATGGCTCCTTAAAAGTTATCATATACCCACGATACAAGATTTTAAGTATTTCTCGCACTTTAGGATTCGACACTGTGGTAACGTTGTTTAATTTCGACAAAGTATCTGTCACTTTAGACGCTAAAACTGCACTGCCATTTCCTTCTGATCTGGTAGTTCATACTGTTATTGGTGATTCTGATTTTCGTCTGGGTACCATTGTTTCCACGGATTCGATAACTCTTCCGGAATCTTCCGCTATCGTCTTTACCACTCCCAATTTATTTTGGTCAAAGGACGAGGACGTTTAATATTCATATCACTATAATGTTTAATTTTTATATAATTTTATATAATTATGTTCCACGAAGCTGTTTTATCCTGATTGTTTATAGATATAGTTGAGCAATTAAATAATTTGATTATAATTAATGTGAGATCATACATGATTATCGTTTATTATACAAATTGTTATTAAATAATCAGTGATTATTGAATGAATTAATGAATGAAAAGTCGTGATTGATTTAAAAATCATAATCTTGTATAGATGAATGAATAAAGGTATGAATATCTTCTTTGTTTTCTGAAATATGAACAAATTTTATCGACGAACATATTCAATACATTATTGTATTATATATATATAGTGTTAGTAATGACATTTTTGTAAGTGGAGAGATTTCTAGGTTACATCTGTTTTTTTAAATGGAATGATATGTTTTTTAGGCCAATAGAGCTCAACGTTTCCTATAGAAAACCGTCAATCTATATTTGTCTACAAATTATTAGTTTAAAAGATATTGACTTTAATTTATCCATTAATTTCACAGTCTCCACGAGTTATTTATAGTTATTTATAAGTTATTTATAAAGAGTAAAGTAGTGCTCATATCATTCTCAGTTTGTAGGATATATCCGGAATTTCAATTGCCTTTCAAATATAAATGTGTTATGCTACTACATCATACAGAAAGTAATTCTCAGTACTTTCTTTGCCAACTAAAAAATCATACACATCACTAAGAGGACCATACAGACTACTTTCTCTATTTTTCTTTAACTTCAGCAGCACTACAGTGAAGAAAGAAAACAATTTATACATATACATATCTTGAGCTTCAAAAAGAATAACATAAAATATATTGAATGTCAAAAAGGAATATATTTTTAAAGACGAACATATTCTTAATTTGTTATATATTTTTTACTCAGTATTAAACTTTTAGATTTTTGATAAATTTAAATACTTAAAGGGTCAAACTTACCTTTTTTACGCTATCTCCCCGCATAACTTTGTAATAAATGCACGAAAATTGAAAATCCAAATGTTATTTGACAGATAAAATTTACTTAAAAGATAATTGTACAAAATAATTCAACAATCCTAAAAATCAATGAATCGTGATAGATAATAGGTAACAGTAAATGTTTATTACCTCATAAAAATTTATTGCGTGGCAAAATATTCATGCTTGTAATTTTCCATATTTACTAATATGATGCAATAATATGTTATAACATTATGTTCTCTATTATTGCTTTCACTTGTGACTTCTTGATTACATGGTTGAACATTATTCGAATAATTTCGAATAAATATTTATTTAAAATGATTATTCGAATTTATTCTGTTTAATTGAATATTTTATCCAGATAATAAATATTTCATTTTGTGTGGATATCTTAAAAATATTGTTTACTCTTCAATTATCAATGATATGAATTACATCAAAAAATACAAAATGTTTATTACCTCATAAAAATGTTTGTGAAAAAATTAGAATATCAGGAAACATATCAGGAAATCTTTGAAAGAGTACGTAATTCTTTAATACGAAGGTGTCGAACATACGTAGAAATGGAAGGAAGACACGTAGAAAACTGTAATCAGAAAAAGAAGAAATTATAAGGTAAGTCACTATTTACATACGACAGCTCTCAAAACGAAGAAATTCGTTTCTTCAGTCGAAACAAAAAATCGTTTATAACTTTGAAACTATTAATTTTTCGACCCATATTATATGCATTGTGTGCTTTTTTATACTTCCAAACTTTTAATAAATGCATAAAGCTCTGCAGTCCAATGAATAATAATATTTTATTGTTATGTAACTTTCATTAAAAAATATATTCCTTATAACTTTAACTTTTTAAATAAATAATAAAAACTGTTGCAGATTATTCCCTGTTTAACCCGGGATTACCCACGTGAGGATCTAGTCGCCGGGATGTACCTGCGCTAGACCCCCAGATGGATAATCCCGGGTTAATTTCCATCATTGTCTGTATTTTATTCTTGGATATATATAAGATGACCTATTCTCTCATGAATGAATTTACTAACGCAACAGATATTCTCATGACGGTCGATGGTCTCATGATAACGACAGATAGTCTTATGACATTTCACAAGTTCAAGGTAAGTCTTATTTGGTGATACATACACTTTGTATTTTGAGGTGCATTTAATGACCCTATGATAAATTTGTTTGTATAATTGTTGAAATCCACCTTTAGCAAAAAATAACGAATTTCTAAGAATTTGTTCATGTATTAAATAGAAAGTATGTAATATTAATAAATGAACTAATGAATCAAGATAATTATTGAAAAAAATCATGTCGTTGAAGAATTACAAATAAAAAGTTTGTAAAAATTAAGCCTAGGTCCTCCAAAAGAGGGTGATTAGAAACAAGAAAAAATATTATATCAACAATAATATAATGTTAAAATATTACATTATATTATTACAAAATATTGTATTACAAAAAGTATAATATTAAAAAAATATATGAAATGAAATTTTATATGATTCATTTGCAGCACAAGCACAGACGAAGTATATGAGAAGACATCTAATGGACTTTTGTGATCCGTAATGCCTGCAATACCGACATAGTAAACTGGTTCTTTTGCGCACTCTATGTTTAAACAACGGTGAGTTGGGGAACTAGTGAGAAACAAGTAATATGATTTTTGACACATTACAGTTGTCAAACTTTCGATACCGAAATATAAAGCTAGTAATCACAGACAAAGTAACTGAAATCGTACCCAATCGAGAAAGAGCTCTATCAATTTTGACAAAATGAAACGCAAGCATGCGCTTCAAGTTTTTAGTAAGAGAGCTTCAGCTGCTCTGTTATTCGCGTTTTGTTTTTTATATCTGAATAAGTCCACTTTAACTTGATTAGTAATGTAATATCACAGATAACCTGTACCTCATTCCATTTCGACCGAGTTCGTTGACAGATATTAAACATAAATGAATAAACTATGAAAAATCTGTATAAAACAAATATAATTTATTTCTATATACAAATTTATATTATATAATTATTTATGCCGTTGAATAGGTATTTACTCATAACAAAATGTTAAAGCTTAATTAAAATTCATTTGACTACATAAGATTTTCGCTAAATTATTATTAATGAGGAATACTGACAATTTTTTTTAAATCTACTTCAACATCTAAGTTTTGAAAGATGTTAAGTCTATGTTTGCATTGTAATATTTCATTAGAAAATTAAGTGGTTTCGTTTTTGAGATAATCAAAAGTCCCTAGGCCATTTTCATTAGAAAATTAAGTGGTTTGTACAGACGACAAAATGAAGGCTAAGAGTGAAGTAAGTAAAAATTTGTGTTAAACACTAATAAATTTATCAGTTAAGGAAACTCATCTTTACTATGCTTTACATATTGTGATAGTTTATCCAAAATTGCAAAAGTGAAGTTGAATAATACATAAACAGTGTCTTAACCTAACATATGATCGTCAACACGTTCATAATTCTTAAAGTTTGAATAATTCTCGTATTTTGTCACATTCAAACTTTGTTTAAGATAATGGTTAAGATAATAAAGAATTATTTATAATGAGAAGTAACCTGTACTATTTTTTTACAGTTGAAGGAATTCGAGGTGATCGGACGCAAATTGCCAACCGAAAAAGAAACTACTACACCATTGTACAAAATGAGAATATTTGCGCCTGATATCATTGTTGCGAAGTCCAGATTTTGGTATTTTCTGCGTCAACTTAAAAAGTTTAAAAAATCTACAGGAGAAATTGTTTCTTTGAAGCAGGTAATTGTTATATGTATTAAGTGTCAATGTAAATTTTTGTCAAATATTTATGTACATATGTTCAAACACATTGTCTTTCAGATACCAGAGGAATCTCCAGTAAAAATCAAGAACTTTGGCATTTGGTTGAGGTATGATTCAAGATCTGGAACTCACAATATGTACAGAGAATACAGAGACCTCTCTGTCAGTGGTGCCGTGACACAGTGTTATAGAGATATGGGAGCTCGCCATCGTGCCCGTGCTCATTCTATTCAAATTATTAAAGTCGAAGTTGTAAAAGCTGCAAATTGTAGGAGACCTCAAGTTAAACAGTTTCATGATTCAAAAATCAGATTCCCATTGCCAAAACGTATTCATAATAGGAATCGTATGCCACTTTTCAGTGTTAGAAAGCCACGCACCTATTTTCTTTGAATACTTTGACTTAAATGACACATTGGCATGAAATATACTTTTCTGAACAAAACGACATTTATTGTAATGTATCTTCTCAACCCTTTTGTATTGTACCTTCTCCATTCCCAATACTTTTTCAATTTACTTCAGTTAATATCATTATTTAAGTAATCTTTTACACGCCACTATGTTCTTGTCTCAATTGTGATTCCCAATCGATTTCAATTCTATCAATTTGCCTTCGTTGTGTTATTTATTTATTTGTTATGTATACTGTACTATAAAAATATATATATTTCAAGAAATAAGTTTTGTTAAAAATAGTAATAAAAAGAATTAAAAATAATTATTTATTAAAAATCCTTTTCTTGATTTTAAATTTAAAATAGTATGTCTTTTTTTATTTTATATTTTTGTCTTCTGACTAATAGAACAATATTAGACATGACAAAATCTTCTTACAATTAGAATACGCTTTAGTAAGTATGCTTTGAATAGGAAATCTGGAACCTATGTTTCTTTAAATACTTTGTCAAAAATTCATCACGCAATGAGCTGTCTTCAGGTTCAGTCACAGATAAGGTATAATCATATATTTATATATCTCGCGTGGCAAAAGTCACTTTCTGCTTAAGCGGGATTCGCTCTCGGTCCCAATTGCAGACGCTATGTAATACACGCTCTTGAGTTTATTAAGATAAGATTGCAATCTGTTTTGTCTATTACTTGCTCAAGGTAATAATCATATCAAACATGTACGTGAAAATTTTATACTTAAAATACCTTGATGTCCGTCTATCATAGGTATGCATTATTTATATTAAACATATTTAAAAAATCATAATCTATATGTATGTATAATTATAAATAAAATAAAAATTATATATAAGAATTCCATTTTAATTAAAAATCTAGTGATAACTTTTTACAAATAAAATTAAAATAAAAAAATATATATAAGTTATATAATTTATAATTAATTATTAATTTCTCAGATTAATGTTTTTATTTAAACTATGTAAAGAAAAATTTAAAAATTAAATTTCTAAAAAAATTTTTTAATTATCTGTAATTAACATTTAACAAATTAGGAAGACTGGGGAAAAGAAAATGCGTTTTAATAAAAAAAGAAATTATTGTTCTCTTTTTAAATTACATTTTTCACATTCATTTATTAATACTTTTATTAATAAAAACTTGTATTTAATTTTAACAGGATTCTGTCGACTAATCAGAAAGCCTGGATAACTTCTTCCCCACCGTGAAACAAAGCATAGGAATGGTTGATAAAATCAGAAAAGAGGGGAAATAAATTTCATGTGGCTCGTGAGCCGCAAGTTATCCACATCACTCTCGTGTTGTTGTTGAAAATCTTTGCACCCAGATGATAGTTGTTAAAGTTAATTAAAAATTCCAATAATTATTTCCAATTTATATTTATTATTATTTACTAATAATTATTATTACTATAATAATATTTTACTAATAATAATTTATTATTATTTTCTAAAGTAAACAATACCGTTTGAAGGGGAACAAACGCAAGGTAATTAATTATTATCATCCTTATTAAATTTTTATTTAAAACTTACGTACAAGGTGAATCAAATAATCATGATAAATGAATATTTCCTGAATGAAACAGGATAAATATTTGTAAAATTATTTTGTTAGAACTTATGAAGTTGCAACAAGTAACGATTAGAAAACAAAATAAATAATAAGATCGTAAATTTTTAAAAAAGACACATCCTAACAGCATTGCGTGTCTTTGAGAGTTTTGGCTAAATTTCGTTTCTAGGCGTTATTTTTTTTCTTTTTTTAATCTTTTTCACATATTTTGTACTTGACGAGTAGAGATAAAATGTAACAGTTTTAAGTGTCGTATTAATACATTTATTTAATGTAGTAATACATTTGTTCAAAAGTTAAAGTATGGCACTTTTGTGAGTTCTTTTTGGAACTCTACTTCTTGGTTTGTACGTGCTATATTCAATAATTAGGTATCATCTGATTGTTTAATTTGCCATAACTTCGGATGCAATTAGAGCACGATATGGGCGTTTTTAAATAAATAATTTTAAATATTTAAATAAATATTTAATTGCGTATAATTTATTTTCAGATATAGAGGTACAATAAAAATGTCATGATCTTACACATTTTAAGCTTCAAACTTTAAAATAAGTTATACAATTTTCAGTACTATTGTATGATTTTTTTTTATGAAACTGTAATAGTTTTTTATGAAACTGTAAATATTTAAGAATATTAATGGGATGTAAATGCAGTCTAGAGATTAGTGTTCAAATAATATCTCTGTTTTTCACGTTGTATGAAGAGATAAAAAGATGTATGCTGCAAAGAAAGTACTTACGTGGGCATGTATATATACTTATATAACTACCACTCTCGCGATCGGTTCCTTGAATTACACAGGTCTAGGTAAATGTAAAATGCGAGCAAGGACAAAGTGAAGGCAACGTTGAGCGTGGCAATGGAATTCTCACTGTGCCCAGAATAAGAATGACGTAATTTCATTCACCTTATATGTTATAATTTACTATTATACAATAATAACCAAATTGCCTGTGTTTCTGGCAGATTTACAAATTTAAATTTCGATGGACACAATTAAAGAAATGAAATCACTCTAATATACTTGTTTCACTCGTTAAATATTTAATATTATAAATATTTAATACATTAAGGACGAATGTTGAATTAACGCAGTGTTTCGTTAGCAATTCTTTTCATCCAATTTTATTATCAAATATTGCTTTTTTTTTAAATATTGGAACTGTAGAAATAAGTTGTAAGAATTCGTTTAATACTTTTTGATCATTATGTCTTCCGTCTAAATTTTATAATTTAATGAAGTTTAGATCCAGATCCTTAATGGATTAATTATTATAGTATATTTGACATTATATATAATTTAATACTATTTAATATAATACACTTTACAATTATAATATTTAGTCTAATATTTACGCTGCGGAATTTTTGGAAAATTCGAAGATGAAGAAATGTACATATGTACATATGTAAGATGCAAGAATATATTCAAGAATATTTATTATAACATTTGGTAGGAAAAATAAATTCCTACTTAGATTTCATTTTTTTATATTATGTTTCTAAAAATTTAAAAATGCATAAAACCTGTTGATATTATAAATGCTATACTTTGGATTTCCTTTATGTTATTACTTATATTTATATATTATATTTTCTATATGACCTCTATGCATTTCCGCAATTTTTAATTTCTCATAAATGCATAAAAATCTACGATCTATTAAGAATAATAAAATAATTTTACATAATAAGTCTTACATAATATAGTCGAAAGAGAATATTTTATATTCCAATACTTGCACCTAATAGCATTTTACACAGATTCCTTATTGTTTTGAAAATTTTCTATTGTAATAAAAAAAAAAGAATTATAGTAGATATAATTTAGAATTATCATAAATTATCAAATATTCTCACTTTGCAAATTTAAATTTTAAAGTAACTATAAAAGGTAACTATAAAAAGTAATTTTAAAAGATCTTAGAATCAAAATTATATATTATTATATAACACGATAAATTTGTAACTATTTTTTATTTTTGTTTTTGATTATAAACCAAGATTGGGCATTATTTAAATAAGCTTTTATTCAAATAATTATTTAAATAAAATTTTTATTTTACTTGTTATCTGTTCTATTACTTTATGTTACATAATGTTATTTGAAAATTATCTTATTATTTGTTATTATTATTAAAAATTATCTTTTTATTTGAAATCAAGAAAATCATTTTATTTTTCTATTGTGATATGAAATCTCTGTTTCAAAATTAATGTACAAAAGTATACAAAAAATATTTTATTTGAAGCATTCATTTCCCTTTTTATTTGTCGTTTTCATTTTAAATAATCTTATACATGGTCATTAATTATTATACTACATTAATTATTAATTATTAGTCATTAATCATTAATTATTAATTATTAGTCATTATTATACATTAATTATTTTAATTTTTAAATTTAATTAAATTAAATTTTTAGATATTTTTAATTTTTTTTTTGTACACTAAACAAGAAAGTAAATATTAGAGTGTCATAAAACGAAATGATAGTACTTTCCTTGATTATATAAAACGACAATTTTTATTACATAAAGCGAATCATTTTTGGTTAGTGATGGATACTTGAGTCTTGTGAAAGAAATCGATTGCAAAAGTAAATGTAAGAGAAATCGATTTTAAAGTGCAAGAGGCAATAAAAAATAAGATGCTTATAATTTTCACCAAGCCAATATTTCTAGCTTTGCCTAAATTACATAAAGGAAATTCAAACGTAATCTTACTATTCGGTCTATTTGAATATTCTAATTCGTGCTATTAGAATAAAATATTTAAAAATATTGAAATACTATATACATTAAAATACTATTTTAATTGACTCAATATTTTGAAACAATCTTGAAGATAATTCTTTTCATTTAGACCTAAGAAAAAAGTTATTTTTCCTAATATTATTTCCGTAATAAAAATGATGAATTAGTGAAAATGATTCGTTATTTCAAATTGTTATTCCTTGTCTTTATTTTAAAATTTATCCAATCCCAATTAGATGATAATGATTTAAAACAATCTGAAATGTCTTTATTTACCTAAATATATGATATTATATTTATATTTGACGTATAATAATAGCAATAATAAAGCTAAATATAATGTAATAGATGTAATAACATATTTATTATATAATAATTATACACGTATATGTATATATAGTAATACAATATAATATAATTTTATATTGTATATTTCATATAGTAGTAATACATATGATAAATGTAATATATTAATCTATTATAATAAATATAAATGTAATACAATACTAATTAAATATATGTACAATCATTGTACAATTAATATGATAATTATATTATTATTATATTATTATTATACATAATTATTAATATGATAATTTTTATATGATAATTATATTATAATTATATTATTATTATACATAATTATTAATATTACAAATAGAAAGATAGAGTCT